TTTTAAACTGGCAATATTGTAAAAAATACATTGAAATTAAGAATTTTTGTTCCCCAAATGATAGTGTTCATTTAATTTTATAATGATAACATTATAAAATATATACAGTAAATTTAACATATAGAGGCAGGGGGTGTTAAATAATCTTCCCCCGATGTCAGATACGCTAGGTACAGTCCTGAAATCTCTACTACATCAGAGAACATACAACAATCAAACAGGAGTCGGTACTACAAATTCAAACTGTACATTTATTTAAAAACAAAACAGTAAAAAACAAAAAAAGGACTTTTCCTAATTAAAAAAAAAACACAGAAATATGAAACCACTTACAGTATGTATAGGGAAAGGGGAAGTTTATATATTGGGGTATCAGACAATAGCAGAGACTGCAGAAAAAGATATTGGGGATAGTTTTATCTTTTGTGAGAGAAGAGATTGTATCTTATTTTTACATTCCTTTTCATTTTTTTTTCCTAAAAGACATTAGTGATTAAAAATAGAAATCTCGGGGTAATGGGGAGAGGGCAGAAGAGTGCATGTTGAAGACAGACTGTAGAGGGCACTTGTTGAGTCGGTTGTTCTTTGGGGCTCAGACCCCACTGGAAAATGTTGCTGCTTCATCTTCTCAGGCTTTAGTCCTTCCCTTTCCCCTTTTTTGCCTGTAGAAAAAAAACACCGAAAAATATTTATTAGCATTAATGCTCAATGATTTGTCAAATTAGAGATATTTATAGAGAATGATGTTAATGATTAAATATGCCACTGAAACCTAGAGCACACACACTGGAGGATGAGGAGTTCTAGGGCTAAAGGTGGGATGACACGGCAGGGGGGACTGAGGAGCGCTAGAGGAGCCTGGGGAGTTCCAACACAGGGAACCGGCTACCACTCTGCAGTGTCCTGGATCCTGGAGGGCAACCCAGCAGAACTGAGGCACCTACTATTGGCTTGATGCCACCCTCAGCAGTAATGAGTCAGTCTTGTTAGGGCCATCTTTAATAGTACTTGGGCCCTAAGCAAACCAACATACAAAAAAGCATCAGGCAGTGACTGTAATTGGTTGCCAGAGGTTACAGCCTATTATTACCGCTCACTGACTGGTTACTAGAGGTTACCAGGGGTGGACTGACCATTGGGAACTCGGGAAGTTTGAACTTCAGCAAGTCGTCTTCACTGTGCCTAGATGCCTAAATGCAATGAGTTGCTGCCATGTGATCGGCTGATTATCAATTTGTGTTACCTAGCATGTGAACACGTGTACCTATTACTCCCAAGCTATTTCCACTTTAGGTAAACTGATGCACACAGTTATTATTTTATTATTTATTTATTTCAGGTACTTTTATAGCACCATCAATTTACGCAGCACTTTACATATATATATTCACATCAGTCCCTAACTCTCAAGGGGCGTACAATCTAAGGTCCCTAACTTACATTCATACATACACATACTAGGGTCAATTTAGACAGGAACCAATTCACCTACCAGCATGTCTTTGGAGTGTGGGAGGAAACCCATGCAGGCACAGGGAGAACATGCAAACTCCAGGCAGGTGGTGCCATGGTTGGGATTCAAACCAACGACCCTAGTACTGCGAGGTGGCAGTGCTAACCATTTAGCCACTGTGCTGCCCAGTTCAACTTTGTTCAGCTTTGTCTCAATTCCCCCAGCTATGGTGCATTGAAAGAGTTTAATTCAAGTTGTATTAACCTCCCTGGCGGTATGATTATTTCAGATTTTTGGTGCTGAAAGCGGTACCATTATTTTGCATGGAAATATGTAGTTTTTTTATTGTAGGCCTGTAATTTTTAGGAATAACTCACTGAAATCTGTCCGAACAAGAGTCTATTAAACATTCCGGGTATGATAACATTTGAAACACGAAATCATAAATTATAATTTAATAAATAATCATAAAAAAATAATAATATAATAATAATACATTTAATTCAATAATATAATCAAACAAAAAACACTGAAATTTGAAATAGAGCGCCAAGTTCGCACATCACTGAGCAAAGTCGCAAAATCGTTTTCAGTGTCTGATGAAGAATTTCCCCACGAATCATTATCACTCAGTTCTGCAAGTGGTTCTGATTTACTATCGCTGTTCTCTAGCTGATCTAAAACCGCGTTTGACCTAAAGGGACACTTTTTGGACGCCATGGACGTTTCTCAGTTTCCAGGCAGAAAGAACACATAAAATGCAGGCAGGGCACAGGACAAAGCACTCGGGACAAAGTGTATGTGAAATGGGTTGAAACAGCAATGTTTTGCTATGTAAAATTTGTTTTGAAAAAAATGACATTTTTTAAAATTTTCAAATTTCCCGCCGCCGCCGCCGCCCGTACGTCCCGACGTCACAGGGACCGGAACACAGAAGCCGGATGCCAGCATCAGCCGGAGGAGATGGCCGGGGACGCTGCAGGGGACACATCGCGGGAACGAAGGACAAGGTAAGTGCTGCAGGGACTCCCTATGCAGCGCCGCATGGTAAGCCCGAGTGTAGCTCAGGGTTACCGCTTTTGGCACTGACATTTTACCCCGAGCTACACTCAGGAATACCGCCAGGGAGATTAATCCATTGGATCAAAGCATCAGCATTTCCCTAAGGGCTTGTTCACACTTGACTAAATTTCTAACTCTTCAAAAATGCCTCTATAGCGTTAGTATGGGTGTTAGACAGGCATTAATGAGCTTTAGTATGGGCATTTTTACAAGCATTTAAAATGCTCCCCATATCACCTATGTGCGGTTTTGAGGCATTTTACAAGCATTAAAAATGTTCCCCATATCACCTATGTGCAGTTTTGAGGCATTTTACAAGCATTAAAAATGTTCCCCATATCACCTATGTGCAGTTTTGAGGCATTTTACAAGCATTAAAACTGCACCAAAAATGCCTATAATAAACTCTATGGTATTAACAGGCCGAAACTGCACTGTAAACGCCCCGCAAACATCTGCCAGGGCATTTGAGGAGTGTCACCATAGACTTGAATGGGGAGGTGTCGAAAGGCTTCACACTCCTCCTGACTGGACATGAGGCTTCAATTTTGAAGCAATGCTAATGCTTCCTGTTTTAATAATGTGAACAGCACTGTTCCCTGCCCATAGTATCATTTCCATGGTAAAAACGCCCCTCAAACACCTGCTTTCAAAACCAGTGTGAACTAGGCCTAAAAGGTGTGTAAGCTTCAGAGAAAATCAATCTCTGAAAATCTTATACAATGTTTCTGCTGCAATTATATGCACAAAGTTCACCCAGAACAGGAATGGACATGAAAATGTCATAATGAACCAAAAATGTATTCTTTTCTTTAGTAACAAAACAAAGTGTACCATGCAGGGAAAGGATGAAGGTCAAACCGTCATACTGCTATCTCAAGATCCAACATAAGTGATTGTATACATACGCTCCAAGATTGGTCATCTGCCAGTCATTGTATACATACGGTCTAAGATTGGTCATCTGCCAGTCATTGTATACATACGCTCCAAGATTGGTCATCTGCCAGTCATTGTATTCATACACTCCAAGATTGGTTCTCTGCCAGTCATTGTATACATACGCTCCAAGATTGGTTCTCTGCCAGTCATTGTATACATACGGTCTAAGATTGGTCATCTGCCAGTCATTGTATACATACGCTCCAAGATTGGTCTCTGCCAGTCATTGTATACATACGGTCTAAGATTGGTCATCTGCCAGTCATTGTATACATACGCTCCAAGATTGGCCATCTGCCAGTCATTGTATTCATACACTCCAAGATTGGTTCTCTGCCAGTCATTGTATACATACGGTCTAAGATTGGTCATCTGCCAGTCATTGTATACATACGCTCCAAGATTGGTCATCTGCCAGTCATTGTATACATACACTCCAAGATTGGTCATCTGCCAATCATTGTATACATACGCTCCAAGATTGGTCATCTGCCAGTCTGTATACATACGCTCCAAGATTGGTCATTGCCAGTCATACATACGCTCCAAGATTGGTCCTCTGCCAGTCATTGTATACATACGCTCCAAGATTGGTCCTCTGCCAGTCATTGTATACATACGCTCCAAGATTGGTCCTCTGCCAGTCATTGTATACATACGCTCCAAGATTGGTTCTCTGCCAGTCATTGTATACATACGCTCCAAGATTGGTCATCTGCCAGTCCAGTCAATTGTATACTGTACATACGCTCCAAGATTGGTCATCTGCCAGTCATTACGCTCCAAGATTGGTACTGTACATACGTACTACGCTCCAAGATTGGTCCTCTGCCAGTCATTGTATACATACGCTCCAAGATTGGTAATCTGCCAGTCATTGTATACATACGCTCCACGATTGGTCCTCTGCCAGTCATTGTATACATACGCCCCAAGATTGGTCATCTGCCAGTCATTGTATACATACGCTCCAAGATTGGTCATCTGCCAGTCATTGTATACATAAGCTCCAAGATTGGTCATCTGCCAGTCATTGTATACATACGCTCCAAGATTGGTCAAACAAATAGCATCCCAGGGGTTGAGTAATCGATTGACCTACACAGTTCCTTGGTTCCTTGGATTTAGCTGGTTACTTTCAGAGGAAATTTGGAACCTTTCCAAACCTTTAACCAAGATATTTAAATCTTCCATTTTACTCCTTCAAACATCACATTCATCCGATCTAAACATTATGTACTGTATGTCTTATGAGCTTACTCAGACAAAATATTGATGCTAGCTTCGAGACAAGAGAAGGAGGGATTTATAGGCATATTAAAACAATAAAACTTATTGAGTAGATGCTATCTGAACCTAGGTACCTAATTTTGAGAACTGCTGCTCTAAGCAATTTTTAATATCAATGTGTGCCTGACGAGTTTTGGTGCTGCTCTGGGACTGTCCTACCAAAACAGATACTTCCTATATAATGTATGTATTTGTAGAATATTGTCTGGAGATCCAACCATCCATCTTGAGTATTAGTTTTGGCAAACTCACCTTTGGATTTGGACTTGGTTTTGGCAGAGCAGGGTTTGGTAGCTTCAACATTTTGCTGGCACTCTGCGTTGTACAAGGCCTTCTTCAATGTTCCAGTGCGGCTCTTTGCTCCGGTCTCAGTGTTGCAATCGCCCCAGCTGTTGAACTTGTACTTGCAGTCAGCTGGAGGGTAAGAAATATAGAGGGGATGGTGTTACTGCTAGGGCAATCCCAAAACCTATTTTTCAGTATGTTTGGCCTGATGCCTCACTAATTAGAACGTTCTGAAACAATTTACAATGAATTTGTTTTTACCTTGAGAGCTTGCCAGTAACCACACTTTCTGCTTAAGGCTGACAACACCATGCTGGTCTCACAATTAGCAGAAGCTTGGTCAACCTTCCTGTGCATTCCCTCAGTTGGCTGTTCAGATGTCTACCAACTCATTGCCAACTGAAATAGTGCACTCAGCCACATGATAACACTGCTGCTAATTATGAGGCAATAGCATAGCTCTGGTTTACACTGCTGCTACTTCTGGTGTGACTTGCTGCGACCTGCGACACGCGACACAAAGTTGTAAGACAAGTAAAAACACTGTCTTAATTGCCGTGACTCCAGACGCAGCAACAACAAAAAGGTTCCTGCATGAATTTGTGACATGAGTGTCAAAAACTGCAACATTAAAATCACAAAAGTCGCAAGGAAGTTGTATTTTTTTTTTAAGATAAAGTCGCAAAACATCAAAGTAGCATTAAAGTTGCACCATCAAGTCATAATGCAAAGTCGCACAACTTTGGGGTTGCAGTAGTGTGAACCGAGCCTCAGGTGCCATCAGTCTGAAACAGGAAGGGTTTGTTACTTGTAGGATCTCCAGTTAAGAAATTCAAAATCATAAAACATTATTTGTTTGGAAAGCTGTATACAGTGAGATATGATGACTAGCCGTGAAAAAAAAGCTTTTGGGTTTATATACATTAATTGCTGTAACTCCTAATTTTGCTGAATACCTCAAATGAAAGTCAAATCTGCAGACACAGCTTGACAACTGAAAAGTAATTACATGCACAGACATGCCCGAGTGACCAAGCAGGCACTATAATGTCTATGGAAGAGAGCAGAAAGACATTCCAGTTCTTAGCTTCTTTCAAGAGGTAAAAGACAAGTTGGGAGTTCTAACCCTGTTCATTGATTTTCTCCTGAGAAAAGTCCTTCAGAGCCCACAGACAGTTTGACATCTTTGTAGTTCATTGCACATTATTACTCCTCATCATACTCGCTCACCTCCAAAGGGTTTCTTCCAGTTGCATGGAATTTTGCACTTTAGTTTGCTTGTCTCTTCTTTGCATGTCCCCTCCCGAGTTCCCACACCACAGTCCTTGATGTTGGGGACGCAAGGGCCCCACTTCCAATCTGAGCAGTCCGATCCGCCTTTTTTACCTTTGTCTGTGGAGGGAAAGGTTGCAAAAGCTGTATGTCAGCACATAAAAAAAGAACTGGAGGAACTAATAGGACAGATTTATGAGAACTGGAAAAAAAGAGAAGGTTTTAAAGAAGATCTAAACCCTAACTGGGTGACTGGGTATCAAACAAACGCCGGGCCATTGGCTATGAAATACTGTTATCCCTTTCAAATTCCTTGTTTGCGTCTGTGTGTTGCTGATCTCCTCTAGCTTTTTCAACTGCTTCCATGCACTCATTCCAGTAGCTTCCTCACTTCTCTGGACTGATTTCCTGATGGTGACAATGGTGGACCATGCCTGAGCAATGTGTTGTCATAGTCACAAGGCAGAAGTACAATTGGGAGACCGATATCATTCCATAACAGAACGTGCCTGAACAAAGACATTTATTGCAGGATCATCAGCTATTTATTGTAAATAAAATTGTGTAACACCTTTCAGGTTAGGTAGGTTTTTGTTAGAGGCTGAGTAGCAGGATGGGGAGAGAGGTAGTAAGGTTACCTTGGGACAGGCTGGGAGGCTCTAACAGGTCAGGGCTACTGGAATCCTCCCTCTTCTCCAGAAACCTGGGAGCTTTCTGGAGGGAGGAAGCCCAGATCTGCATGTTTGAGGAACCCTGACCAATCCCCTGGCAGGAGGCTGGGCATGGTGCCCAGGGCAACCCTCAAAAGTGGCAAAGCCTGTGCAGCAGATTTAGTGAGTGTTGGGTGGAAGATGGAGTGAGAGACTAGAGTGTGGAGCCTAGGAGGGGGGCCCAGAGAAGGGGCCAACCTACAGGCAGGCGCTGGAGAAGAGGATCTTCACTGTATAACCTTCTCCAAGGGAAGATATCCTGAGCAGCAGGGAAGGAGCCTGCCCAACAAAAGGCCTGAAGGCAGCCCCCAACCATTAAGCTATCAGAGGACAGTGTGAGTACTCTTACACCCCCTGGGCCGGATAAGGGGATAGGGCAGTCAGGTGGAAAACCCAACTAACTTCTCATCTGGGGCTGCTGTGATAAAAGTTTCTTGGCCCCCTTGCCCAGGGAATACCCTCAGTGCAGCTGGGTGAAAACTATGATTCATCTGGGGTCTAAGGAGGTACACCAGAGAGCTGGAATGCTCTTAAAGGAGAGTCTATTTTTCTGTCCCCATCTGTATATAGTTGCTAAGGAGTTTGTCCTCACGTTTGCAGTTTCATTGGGCATTCCATATACCAATCAACCCCATCCAAGTTCTAAACCCCTTAATAAAATCACAAAGCCAAGCTCAAGGACTGTTTACTGTCTCACGTGTGGAAGAAAATGCGTGTTGCCTGGCTGCACAGAGCTTTAGGGGGACCCAAAACTCAGCGACTCCTGAGGGCTAGTGCTACAATTGCAAGTCTAAAAAGACTGAAAACAACTTTTGAAACTACATTAACATGTCAAAGTTTAAGTAATATTTTAGTAATTGAGTCTAGATACCCAATTATTCCAGCCTTGTGGTGTGGTTAAATATTTTTATTAAGTTTTGCTCTATCAGCATTAAAGACAAGTGCACCCCCTTAAAATAAGGGATCCTCTGTCATTTTACATCACCAGAGCATTCCATTTTGTTCTGGGGATATCCCACCACTGCTATGTAGCGACTGCATCCCTTTATGTTTTCCAGCTCATTGGAAGTACCTCACCCAAATAGGAAATAGGGGATGTCTGTAATATGACTTCAAGCTCTGCACAGACATACGGGAATAACAGTGGTCTAAATACCTGGGTATTAAACAAGATTGTTGTGTATTTGCTGCATACAGAAGGGCATACAGAAATCCCTGGGAGATATAGATGCAAGGAAGCAGCATTAGAATTTCTATTGACTGTTTTAAATAAATAATAATAATGGCTGCATTTTGGAAAGAAACGTTGATTTTTAATATTACAAAATGGTTTAGGAAGCAATTTTCTTTTTTTCTCAGTTGATTCAATTGTCAGAGAGTATAGCACCCTCCTAGATAGGCTGTTAGGATATAGTAGGTAAATTTAGGTCTTTTTGGCTCCTCTGTAATCATTGGAGCAGCAGTTGATTTCTTTTGGCTGTTTTGAGTTTCAGAGGCCGTAGGGTTAATTGCTCTTCCCTACCTTCTGGAAACCTCTGGAACATGGCGGGTTGAGCAAGGCAAATTGGGAACCATGAATATTTGTGCTGCAGACAATCCTTGGGGAGGTGTGCTCAGTATGGGGCTGAAGAGCACATAAATAGTCTACAGCTTGGAACAGCCCTTTTCTAAGTCATGTGTCTAGTCCTGCAGGAGGAATCGCCAGTCTGATGGCCCTCTGCCCCTCTGGGCTGATTGCTGGAGTTGCTGAATGGTCAAAGTCCCAGCTGTAGCATAGCTGGGGGGTCTATTTCAAAAATCATTTTCTGGGGCTAAAAAAGAGATTTTCACTCAAGGACCTGGCCTGGAAGAGTGTCTGATGGATGTTGGAAGGGTACATCCAGCTATCCTTTGGCATTGTGAGCATTAACCTCTCCCTCACAGAAGAGTGTCCAGTGGATACTGGAAGGAGGCAACCAGTAGTCCTGGGACATTGTGAGAACTGACCCAAGCTCACGGTCCTAGTGACTGTGTGCTGTTTGCTTTTGGTAGAAGAGCCAGTGGCAGTCCTGACTGGGATAGCTTTTTAAAAAGGACTCAGTTCTGCCATCTGTACTTGCTCCTGCATAGAGACTGTTCAGGAAGACTTAGCAAAGAGGAGGGTCCTCCTGTGAATATTCCGTGAATCTGGAGTACCCCGTATTACCCTACACCCCATCCAAGTTCTTCGGTAATAACAATCCTAAAAAGACATCTCCTAGACTTATTACTGAGCCAAGAGTGAAAGAACTGCTGCTGTGTGCCTGGCTGCCTCTGTACTAGTTTTGGGAAAGAACTGGTTAAATGAAAATGGCTCCTTAGGGGGGTAGCGCTGCTGACCAGTTAAACTGGTCTTTGTAGGTAAATGTGGGGAGCAGATCGGGGTGGACAAATTTATTGCTGATAGGAACATAAATCACCTTTCTTGTTCTTGGCGGCCTGAGAGCTGACGGCAAGGATTGCCACCAAGACGATGACACACAAAGCTCGCAATTCCATCCTATAGCAGAAAGAGAGAACAAATAAAACCATGAACTAGGTTTTTAAAGGAAGTCTATAAAAAAATAATTTGGACGTTGCTTGTTTAGATCGGCTTAAATCTAAACCTGTGCTGAGAAACAAATTATAATCTGCAAATTTTGAACCTTTCGGAAGATATCTGCCTGATTGTGATATCAAATCCAGAGCTTATGGGTTACTGGTGTAGCACCCTCCTAGGTAGGTTGCTAGGGTGAATATAGTCTAGTTTAGTATAGCATTGTCAACTGCTTAACAGGAGACTGATAGGCAAAACATAGCAGCTTTTCTGTTTAAAGTGGTTGTAAAGGCTTTTTTTACCTTCATGCATTCTATGCATGAAGCAGGGGCGGACTGACCATCTGGAAACTCGGGCACTGCCCGAGGGCCCGGGGTCAGTAGGGGGCCCCATGAGATGCCCCTGGTACCTTCTTCATAGGCTTTTTTGAGTTTGGGCAAGGACACAGGGGCCCCATGATCCCCTATTGCCCGGGGGCCCCATGAGTTGTCAGTCCGCCCCTGGCATGAAGGTAAAAAACCTGTGTGCAGCAGTTCCCCCAGACCCCTTATTACTTACCTGAGCCGCATCATGATCCATTGATGTGCACAACAGCCTCAGCTGTCCCGGGTCTCTGCCTCCTCATTGGCTGAAACAGCAAGCAGGAGCCATTGGCAACTGCTGCTGTCAATCTCAGCCAATGAGGAGAGAGGGGGCAGGGCCAAGCTGCGGCTCTGTGTGTGAATAGACACATGGAGCAGCGGCTTGGGAAAAGTCTGCTCAGGTGCACCCGTAGCAAGCTGCTTGCTATGGGGGCACCCGACAAAAAAGAAGAGCCAGGAGCGCTGGCAGGGGGCCCAAGAAGAAGAGGATCCATGATTCACTGTGCAAAACCACAGCACACAGCAGGTAAGTATGACATGTTTGTTATTTTACAATAGAAAAATTAACCTTTCGTATCGCTTTAACAGGAAGCTACAATTGTCAAGTGAGAGATCCTGTGCGGCTCACAGTGCTGCAGCTGTGATTGGCTCCTCTATATCCAGGAAGGTTCCGGGAGAACAGGAGTTCCGGGTGAACATGCATATCAGCAGCAAGAATACGAATACAGTTCCAGCCAATTACAGGGAGCGGTGCCCCTGAGAATGCTGGGTACTAGTATTTACATTTAGTGAGCACATATGATCGGGTTCTTCTTCCTTTTCCTCTGAGAAGGAAGTTTCATCCAGGGAGGCGGGCTTGCCTCCATGGCTCACTCTGCCAGAAGGCCTCGAATGGGTGACCTGAGAGCCAGAATGCTGAAATCCAGGGTGCTTCTAAGAGCTGACTGAGGGGGATGTATACAGATCCTGTCTGGTATCACAGAGGAAGGTGACCTGCAGCAAGGGCCTTGTGAGTACAGACCATTCTACATGGATGCTGGGACTTGTGCTGTTTACCCCCTCGGGATCTATATAGTCAGCTGCTGGGTGTAAGCTAGAGGGGACACCGGCCGTGTAACTCTCCACTAAGTTTACATATCTACAGAGGGACGTTTCTCCATTCTTTACAGTCTGTTACACAGTTCCATTTTGAGAAAGCTGTCCTCAGTTGTGCATAGTTTGATTTGGAGTATCCTACTATATCCCAGTTCCAAAAACCAAAGAACAAGGAAAACTACAACCCCTAGACATTGGAGTAACAAGCGGAAATTTGTGTGCGCCTGGCTCTAGGAAATGCTGTGTGCTTGGCTGCAGGAGACGATCTAGGAGAAAGCCTGGACAAAATAGAAGTGGCTCCTGCGGAGGTAGCTCTACACTGGCCTTGGACAAATATGCACATCGGGAGTTCTTGTATTTCTTAGACTTTAATAGCTACATACTCATTCTAGATATCTTACTGGCCGCTTAGCCAGGTGATCAACATGAAATGACAATGGTCACCTGCTGAGAGTCCAGGTGTGAACCTCCCAGCACACTCATGCTTCCCAGTTGCTTGCTGCAGGGCTATTTACTAATAGCTATGGTCACAATGACAAGACTTACTTGTGTGAACACCCATGGGCACAACTTAAAAAATGTGCTTTGAACTGCAGACAAAAACAGGGGTTCAATCTACACCTACAATATGCTGAGATGACACACTGCAATTTTGGATGCTGATCTTCTGCCCAGGGCTGTCTTAAGGATGGGCACTGCCCAGGGGCCCCAGGTGCATAGGAATCCCATGATAATCTTTCAATATATCATACCTGTCCGGACTTGTATAGTTATGTAGTTAGTCTGGCTGAAAAAGAGACAAAAGTCCATCCAGTTCAACCATAAAAAAAAAAAAAAGTTATAATTCTACATCGACAGTTGATTCAGAAGAAGGGAAAAAAAACAGCAAAGCATGATCCAATTTGCTCCTGCAGGGGAAAAAAAATCCTTCTTGATCCCCCGAGAGGCGATCGGATATTCCCTGACTTGCCAGGTTAGTCACGCTTTTTACTAAGTTGTCCCTGGATGGCCTGGGCAGCATCTCAGAACCTGTACTGTGCCCTCCTGATGACTGCCCCCATACTGTGTCCTTTGTGTTGTTTAGTCTTTTATTTATTCAATGTTTTCTTATTGTTTAAAATCAATTTTATTGAAAGTGCTAATAAATATGTTTAATTTCATCAACTATTTGTAAACTTTAATTCTTGAGAGTAGGTGTGTAAATGGAGGCAGGCTGGTGGGGGCCCCAGAACATTACTTTGCCCAGGGGCTCGTGATGCTATTAAGATGGACCTGCTTCTTCCTGGGCAGGGAATGGTAAGTGTAGACTCTTTGTGAACCTCACTTTCAAAAAAGTCCTTAACTCCATGTAGTCCAGAACAGGAGAGGACTGACAACTCATGGGGTCCCTGGGCCATAGGGGATCATGGGGCCCCTGTCCTCACCCGCACTCAAACCACACCCAAAAAAGTCTATGAAAGGTACTAGGGGCATCTCATGGAGCCCCCTACCGACCCTGGGCCCTCGGGCAGTGCCCAAATGATCAGTCCGCTCCTGGTCCAGGCAAGTTACAGGATCTAGTCTAGTCTAGTCTAATCTAGTAGTAGTTGTTCACATTAAAACTGGATTAGTTCTGTAATATTGAAGCAGTTTTATAGTTTACCAAGAATTTTTTTGCCAGTGTGTAAGGAAAATACCCCAGCAATTATTGGTAGCACCTACACCTTGATCCAATAACCATGGAATGTGTAGATGTAGATTGTAAAAGGACAGGCTGGGAAATGTGAAAATTGTGGAACCACCCTGTTTTAGTTATAGTGTTATGCAGGCCATAGATGGGTCAAAAATCGGCCGATTTTTCTTTTAAAAAAATGAAAAATCGGTCGTTCAAGCGGCCGACGTTACCAGCAACGGTAAAAAAAAATCGGACGATTTTCATCCCGTCTACAGCCGGCAAAAAGTGTCCCTGCAGAGAGCTCCGCTATTTCTTTCACAGTTCATTGACATTTATAGCGGTTGCAACAATGTATCTATTTGTATCCATTTAGGATACAGATGTTTTTATTCGGAAACAAATAGATCCTCTTCTTCATCCTCTTCTTCTTCTTCATTCTCTTCTTCTTCATCCTCTTCTTCATCCTCATCCTCTTCTTCATCCTCTTCTTCTTCTTCTCCTTCTTCTTCATCCTCTTCTTCTTCTTCATCCTTTTCTTCTTCTTCTTCATCCTCTTCTTCTTCTTCTTCTTCTTCATCCTCTTCTTCTTCTTCATCCTCTTCTTCTTCATCCTCTTCTTCTTCTTCATCCTCTTCTTCTTCCTCTTCTTTTTCTTCTTCTTCTTCATCCTCTTCTTCTTCTTCCTCTGCTTCTTCTTATCTTCCTCTTGCAGGTCACTGCTCATGCGCAGATTTTTTTATCGGTAAAAAAATCGACCGATTTGCCCATCATTGCCGCGAAAATCGGCGATCGGCAAAAATCGGCCGATTTTTTTCCCAACTTTACCGATAAAAAAATCTGCCAAAATACCGAAAAAACGGCCGAACAGTTAGCCCACTAACGATTCGAAAATCGGCCGATTTTATTTTCGGCCAAAAAAATCGGCCGATTTTTTTCAACCCATCTATGGCCTGCATTAGGAAGGCTCCATAAAGCCCCGTACACACAATAAGAATTTTTTTTTTCCTAGCATGCTAGTCTCCATATCGAAAACGAAGAGATTACTAAAGTTACAAAAATTCTTATACAACAGAATAAAAAATTTGGAGGTGATGTAATGTATTGTATTTTTTTTTTTAAAAAACTACTGATTAAATATAAATCGAACCATCTTTATTGTACAAGAAGAATTTTCGCACTTGTCCCTTCGAATAATTTTGTACAGAACCTGTGTACTAATGATCATATTATTGTGCAATCACTTTGAAAGCGGAATTTTTTATATGGATTTTCTGATCGTGTCTACTAGGCTTTAGTGTGGTCCACAATTGTCACACCTCCTATTGAAGATGGTGTCCTTTCCATGGTGATTGGATCAAGGTGTCCTTGCACCTATATGGATCTCCTGAAACATTTGATGTATTTTCCTGACACTCAGTAGAACAGAAGTAGCTTGGATAAGCTATGACACATCTACAGCATTACAGAATAAGTCCAGTGGAATGCTTCCAAAACCTCCAATGGTCAACTACTACTAGATACTAGATGTAGCATAAATGGGGACCATTAACAGACAGATGTATTTGGCGCCCCTATTGCAGTTTCAGTGTTTGACAATTGAGATTTGGTTATCACAGATAAGGGCTGAATTGATAGCATCCCTTTAGACATTTAGATTGCAAAAATTTCCTGCAATTTTATATGTATTTGATGAATGGGAGGAATTAATCAGATAAACTCTGTTGGTGAACAGATCCTCTCAAGATTTTCAAGGGAGTTTGCCATCTGTATCAACTTGAGTTTTCCCCCTTCCCCAATAGCTGATCTTTTGTCATATTTCTGCATATCAAATAAGCTTTTCATGTTTGCTTGA